ATTCATTTATTCTGAACCCCTCAATCGTAATCTCTAATTATATTGATTTTTTCAGTAAAAAATATTACAGTTGCCATTACATTGTGTTCACAACTGTGAACATTCCAAAATGTTTCTGTTGTAGTTGTTGTTGTTGAAAGATGTGAACATTCACATTGACTGAAATTTTTTTGAAAATCATAAATTATTGGTGTTGTTGTTCTATACTGTGAACATTCACATGGATTGAAAATCATTTTATATGTTTATGTTAACATCCACATGTTCTTCAATGGTGTTCATGGTTGTATAAAATACATTATTTTTCACACACTCACACAATATGTACATTGTGTTTGTGCTAACACAGTCAACATAGACATCCATGTACAGATGTGAATGTTCACATCCACACACAAAAACTGGTTATTCACACCCATGCACACAACTGTGAACATGCACATCAGTGGCAATGCTGTGAATGTTCACATTTGTTCCACTATGCAAATCACATGAGCCTTGACTTAATTTTTTTAAAATGCTCTATTTTGCAGATGTTGCACAAAAGAAAACCTTAAAGAGGAAGAGAGAGGAGTACCATGTCAAGGAAGAAACCCTATAAACAAATACTAGCACTAATGTCGACATGCGCCATGTGAACTATAGATCTAACATGACCGGACTGGTAAAATTAATGAAAAGCACCAAGTTCACTCAAGCACAGCTTGGCTGCCTGCAACAAACACCATTTTGGAATTTGTTAGATGCATTGAGAAACAATCAGATCGACCTTGACAAATGCATGAAGTATGATGATGTTGTTGTGCATGTCCTACAAACGTACAAAGCTTCAAAAGATGTCTTCTACATTGGGGAGAAGAAGATGAACATACACAACAGCGACATCAAGCTGATTTTTGGTGTCGACTGTGGCAGCAAGCCGATGGACATATCATATGGTGCGAAACCAAAGACTGGTATTATAAAAAAAAAGATGCAAAAATGTCAGCCGGTTGACTTCAAAATGGATACACACCCTTTTGACCGAGGCATTGAAAGGCAAAAAGAAAGATGACAACGAAGAAGTCGCCCGACTAGTGTGCATGTATGCTTACCAAAAGCTTTTTTTCTCAACAAGCGGAGAGACAATAGGATGGGGCTACTACGCACATATGGTCTCATTGAAAAGCATGCAAGAATATGATTGGGCGAAGCAAATTAGAACAACGTTGACATTGTCCATTTCCCAAAATGACAAAAAACCAACAAAAGTCACCGGCTGTGTCATGTTATTGATGGTAAGTACCCATGTTGTCAAATAATACCATTCACATGTAATTCAGTGTTGTTTATCTAAGCCAACTGTGAACATTCACAACAGTGCCACTGATGTGAATGTCCATAGGCACTTATGTTTCACAGATGTGAAAGTTCACATCTGAACCACTGATGCAAATGTTCACATTCACTCATAATATAGTACTGTGAATGTTCACAACAATGCCACTGATATGAATGTCCGTAGGCACTTTTGTTTCACAGATGTGAATGTTCACATCTGAACCACTGATGCGAATGTTCACATTCACTCATAAATATACTAATGTGAATGTCCATAGGCACTTATGTTTGACAGATGTGAATGTTCACATCTAAACCACTGATGTGAATGTTCACATTCACTCATAATATACTATTGCGATATTCACAACAGTGCCAATGTTATTAATGTTCACATATGTTGACATTACTATGCAAATGGTAAATAACAATATGTGTTTGTTATTTTATTGAAGTATTGGTTGTGTGAGCACACAACTATCCTACAACCTCACAAGCCCAATGCTTTTCCTCGTTGTGTGAAGTGGGATCTGACTGCTTTATAAAAGAAGATGAGAACCACCTCTTTGACTGATTTGGGTTTTAATGAGGTACAACCTTCAACTACTGATCAAAACATTCACATTATAACACCACCCAAATATATACGTTAAGTAACATAATTATTTAATTTTCAGGTTAATGCCGGTGAACTCTTTGAAATCCCAACAGAATTACAAAAGTTCAAGCGTAAAACATTGAAGGTAGAGCCTGAAATTTATGAACCAGCCACAACATCTCCCAACCTATCTGACATGAAGGAAGAACAACACAATGGCAGCAACTCCCACTTTTCTGGAGATGGGGTCGAGCTAAAGGACAGTGATGAGGACATTCACATTCCATTCAGCAACCCACATGACGACAGAGCTATTGTCATACCAAACACCAAACAACCTAATTTCATTGATGTGCTTATCAAAGAAAATCGGAAGGCTTGGGCCGTCATAAGGCAATGGGAAGCAAAGTACAAACACCTTCAATTTTCATGGGAGTTAAGAGCAAGAGTCATAGCTGATCTTGAACATAAATTGTTCAACCAGTCCAGCCCACCCAACATGAATACCAAAATAAAAAAGTGCATGGAGCAGAAGGATGAAGAAATAAAACGCTTAACGCAGTCATCGACTTAGAATGCGAGAAAATAATGCTTCAGGACCTTTTCGATGAACAGTCAGTCCACATTGTTACACACAGGCTGTGGCACAGAAGCAACCCCCTAGCCCAATGCAACACAATATCAGCCCACCTTCTAAGGTGAAGCGTATAAAGGAAAAATATCAAAAAGAACATCGCTTGCCTGACTTCCAGTACCCAGACTTACCTGGCCGAAAGCAGCCCCATACAGTCGAAATGGTTGAAGATGTCGAGAAACACCCACCAGCGAAGCAGCCAAAAAAATTAACCCTGACCAACAAGCTCAAAGTTTAGAGCAAGATGTCCAAACAAGACAAGCAAAAGGTCCAAGCTTTACAAAAGAGTGGAGGCGATGAGTAAGTGGCTGTACAAACACCTCATGTTAACAATCACATTCCACAATTGTCAATATTCATCACTGTGCTTATTTGTTTTGGTTTGTTCAGATCTATGCAATGTAAATATTCACATTGGTTTGTTCATAATACACAGGCTGCTGGTGTGGAAAGGAGATTCAAAGGCTACACATGTGTATTTTGATGACATTGTCAACCTTATCAAGGAGGAATCGATACACAGCAATGTATGCCATTACAAAGATAATTCACTCTTCATGCATATACGCACAGAGACACACACACACCCAAAGCCACAGACACACATTCTTCACCCACCACAAATAAAATAATATGACCCATGTTTGTGCAGCTCATAGATGCATATGCCGAACTATTACATGAACAACAAGAGGTCGTCAACCCAACTTCAGATGAAGCGTCATTCATCTTCACGAGCATGTGTTTAGTAAAATCTATCATTCCATTATTTCTAATGTTAATATGAAACTTCACAGTCCATTAATTACTTGTCTAATGTGTACAGAAAGTGATACGAGAGTACCATCCTCCCAAAAGGAGTAAACACATTGATACACATGTCAAAAACTACCAAGGAGAGAGATACCTACTATTCCCATTGCATCATGAGTACCACTGGACGATAGTTGTGTATGATGCTAAAGACAATTTGTGGAAGCATTACAACTCGTTGTGCCCAAGAACAAGCATACATGACCCGCATATCGACCAAGCACAGGAAATTGTAAGTGGCTATTTTTCAACACAAACATGACTTGTTCTCGTGCATTAAATGACTGTACACACACATATGTTTGTTGGTCCCTAATGTGAAATTCCATACACAGAGGAACTACATTGAGCATGTTGTGACCGTTATTGGCGAGTCATCACCGCTACACACTAAGTTAGCAGGCCAAAATCCAGCACAACCAACCAAAAGTGTTGATGTCTGTCCTCAACAAGGCGACGACTCGTAAGCCTCACTAAATTTTTTTTCAAATCCTCCACAACCATTATGCAAATATTCCTGTCAACTGCTAATCAAAACCATTTCACATTTACAGAGTGGACTGCGGACCTGCAGTATGTTACATCATGCGGGCGCACGTATATCATGAAGAAATTGTGGGCAGCCTCAGTAGTGCAGAATGGTGTGGACTACGAGATTTGTTAGTGCATAGTTTTTTGAATCATAAGAAATCAGAGCTTCCTTAAAACCTATAGGTGGGGGGTGTCCACCTACGAACTAACCAACAGTCGATTTGAATGTTAATATGGAAAGCATTGATATTTTGACACAGCAACTGATTGTAAAACAGTGATACAACATCTGTTAATAGGAAAAAGGCAGCTGCGAATTTTGAACTACTTTTGGTGTTGTTATGTTTTACATATGTGAATGCCCACAGTTGTACCACTAATGTGAATGTTCACAGTCACGTACGATATGCATACTGCTATGTTGTTGTGAGAAAAATTTCTGCAAATGTTTGAACCTGACTGTTGTTAAGTACACATACTTTGTGCAGGAGTGTACACTTGGTCTACGTGACATAATTACGGATCACATACACATGTGTGAACATTCACATTTGTGGTTGCTCATAGCAATTGTAAACACAGATGTGAACATTCACATCAGTGCATACTAATGTCAATGTTCACAGTACTTATAATTTCTCCATCACTCATTTGTCCATACTATGCATGTCAATGTGAATATTGACATGAATATAGAGGTAAAAAAATTACTAACCATTGTTTCCGTCTTTTGCCGTTGCCGCCAGTAGCTGACCTTTGTACTTTCCTTTGAGGAATGTTCCATCCAAGAATAATAAAGGCCGACAAGAATTGAACCCAGAAATACACGCAGCGAATGACACAAAGAAACGACAAAACTGTCACACAAGCTATGTCAGAAAGGCAACCCCCTAGCCCAATGCAACACAATATCAGCCCACCTTCTAGGGTCAAGCGTATAAAGGAAAAAGATCGCAAAGAACATCGACTGCCTGACTTCCAATACCCAGACTTACCTGGCCAAAAGCAGCCCCATCCAGTCGAAATGGTTGAAGATGTGGAGGAACACCCACCAGCGAAGCAGCCAAAAAAATTATCCTTTACCAAGAAGTTCAAAGTCTGGGCCAAGATGTCCAAACATGACAAACAAAAGGTCCAAG